AAAATGAATATTTAAAATACGCAGAAAGGTTGTTTGTGCCTGAGTAAAATGGAACATGGACTCTTCATCTAGAACTAGTTAAAAAGAGAACTTTTCTCCCAATTCCCTGCTCTGCTAGTAAACAAAGTCACAAATCTCTATTCATAAATAGGACTGGTTTCTTTGCGATAAATTGACACTTGCAAAAAGAGCTTTTAATTTGGCAGAAATTCCTTCATATTTAAATTAATTACAAACCACATGACAAATGCCAGAAGAATTCCTTTCCATTTGAACCACATGGGAGAATAACTGAGCTTTTAAACATATCTTTAACGCTGGGCAGAAACAGTTTTGCTTGCATGAGGCAGCAGAGGACACAGCTGGGCTTGCAACCAAATCTGAACTCTGGGATGTGCGTCAGTTCTCCAAAAGAGCTGCCACAGCAGCCCCTAAACAAGTGGCTAGGGCAGGACCAGGGAAACTGTCCTGACAGATGGTTTCAGATGCTTCATTAGCTCAGACTTTCCAGTCCTGCTGAGTCTCAGGCCAGCACCATTTTGCACCCCTTGGCTTGCTGGCTCAGGGCACTCACTCCACTTACAGGCAGGAGGGTGTCCGCAGGGCCACCACGAAGCGACATCTCCCATTGATGCAGTAATGCTCGTATTTCCTGGGGCACAGACCAAAGTAGTCATTCCACTTTGATTGTGTAGTGGTAGCTGAAAAATGAGAATACATTCACTAAATCAACTCATTTTAAATACACATTTGTAAGTAGAATCATATTCCTATATTTGCTGTGAGTGTTTCTGTAGAATATACTCCAAACTCTGATTTCTTCTTATCTCTATACTGGGAAAAAAGTCACACTTTCATAACCCCAAAAGAGCTCTAGAGACTGGGTAATGGGGATTGTGGTGGGAATATTTCACATTTTAATTACGATTTGTATCCAACAGGAACACTGTTGTTGTTTAAAGGGTAAAGATAATTGTGATAAGAAAGAGGCTATTCTTTCCATGGAGATTGCCAGAGCCATGGGGGTGATGGCATTGTAGAGAGAAGGATGTTGTTTCTTTTCTTATAAACTTTTTTTAAACTTAAATACTTACATAGCACTTGCTGACTATCAGATGCTGGTCTGTATAGTTTATATATTAATAACTCATTTAATGATGATAACAGCTTTGGGAAGTAGGGACCATTCTAATGTACTTATTAATAAGCAAATCTCCTATTTATTAATGAGAGGCTAAGGCGCCTTCCAGGATCACACAGCAGGGACGCGGCAGAACGGAGACTCAAACCCAGGAAGTCTGGCCCCAGTGTCCATACTCCTGACCACTCCACTCTGGCGCTCTGTCAGGACAGCTGTTCAGCAGGTAACTAACTGTCCTCTACTCCCAGCTGAGGTACCCAGAAGTCGTCCTTGCCTAAATGGGAGATGCTCCCTCTCATTTGAACCCTGGATGATTTCTCTAGATCTGAAGAAGGAAGAAAATACTGGAAACTTCATATCCAGAATTTCAATCCTACACTGACTTTTTTGTCTTACCTCTTAGAGTCTCGATGCCTAATTTTCCTCAGGGGACAGTAATATGCAACCATTTCCTCATCACTCACATGCAGAAGTTTCAATAAATCAATATTGTCAGGAGGAACAGTACAGAAATACTAACTATTGGGTTGTCGGAAGGTTATGACGCGTTTTTGCAACGAAAAACATAGAAAAAATAAGTCATGACTTTTTCAACAACTCAATACAATGGATATTCCCTGTGTTGATTCACAACAGACATGTGTCCAACCCGGAGAAAATAGCTAACTAGCCAGCACCAGCCAGGCTGGACTTTCATATTCATGGCATGACAGGCAGCTTGCAGGACTCAGACACCTGGAACGACAAAGACCACGGTGATAATGTCCGGAGGGCATTTCACACCAGGTTTGGACCGGCACCTGGTGCCCCAGTGATATCAAACAGTCCTTTTATTCATAGCAATGGCTGCTCAACTTCTTCATTAATATTATGAAATGAGTGCATATAATTGCTCAGGGCACCAGAAGGAGGAATGGCACAGAGCTCTGGATGATCTGCACACAGCAAATGGCTGTGATGCCAGGTCACAGTGTTGGGGGCGGCAGAATGTTGCTGAGGGCCTGGCCGACCCAGTTCTGTTGGTGACTTGATCGCCAGCCATGCTCGCTGTTCGGACGTGCCAGGCGTTGGCTCCATGCATGCCAATCAAAGGGACTCTTACTGAAACATCTCCCAGAAATAAATGCAAAGTGCCTCAAAGGCAAAGACCCATGTACTGTGGCAAATAGATCGATCAGTCAGCTTCCATTCCTCAAGCACTTTTTATTTCCAGAGCCCTGTGGCAGGCATTGCAAAACATCAAAGAAATAAAGGATGCCCTATCTCTCCCTCTGATCGGTACAATTGAACACATTCAAGACAACAGTGAGCAACCAACTGGTAACAACAACCATAGTAACTGTACGAACAGCTGTGGTAAACTGGAAACTGTGAAAAGCACACTGGATTAGGGGGAAGAAAATTATTGTTCCATTTACAGCTCTGCCTTTCACTAGCCATACAGGTCTGGAAAAGCAAATTAAGCTGCCTGAGCCTCAGTTTCCTCATATGCAAACTAAAGATGATGAGATGTTCCAAGAAAAAATATAAGTGAAAATTCTTAGCAGAGTGCCTCAGATAATTAAGTCCTCATTAAATGAGTTGATTGTAGAATCTAGAGAAATAATGCTTACTTAATTAAAAAGAATTCTGGAAAATGTAGTTTTTTTTTTTTTTTGGAGTAGGTAAGCAAGCCATTGAGTTATGAAGAATGTCAAGAGCAAAAGCTCAGGGTCAGGAATACTGAGGCCTAATGCAGGGCTGGGAGGTAGATTGAACGGCAATGGAAGGGATATGGAGGGGAGCAGCCGACGATGGCTGTACATGGCAGTTAGAGACCTCAAGTTGTCAGGAAGCTGAGAATTTACACTGAAAGGCAAGGCAGGAGAGAGCTGAAGAAGGGTCTTGTGGATTAAATTCAATGATCTATGTAAAAGCTAAACTTGGTAGCATTTTATCAATATATTAGGAGAGTGCAGGCTGTATTAGAGCAGGGAGACGCTGGGGGGCAAGGAGAAAACCAAGGCCCACCTGAGCCACGCAGACATATGTGATGTGGGTCTGGGGGAGGGGAGTGGAGGGCAAGATGAGAATTTAAGAAGCAAGGAGACTTACTGACAAGTCCACTGTGCTCCAGAAAGGTATTTCCTACTTTGCAAAACACACCTGACTTGAAATATAAGCTATATGGCTCTGTATCCTGAACTTCACTAATTGCTCTAGTTGTTGTGCCCCTTTCAACGTAGCCAGCCTTCTCATAAACACCACGTGATGAGCCGTGCTGCCCCAAAGTGCCTTCCCCAGCAGCTGCTAGATGCAGTGGTTTGAGCAGCCTCGGTTCACCCAACAGCACACACCCATGCCAGGGAAAAGGTTGCCGGGCCCTGTTCTGATGTGTCACAGGGCTCTCTCCTTTGCCAGGTAAGCATGCTCTTCAATATTCCCAGCACTATCTGGATTTAAAAACACTTCCACGCCACCGAGCAGAACATGTCCAGTGATTTCTTTGTGGAACTTCAAACCCTTGGAGAAAAATCAATCACACATAATAACCCCAAAAGCCAGACAGGATCCCCTCTTCCTCTCATGGAAGTCAAAGGCTTACCAGCACTGCCCCTTTGGGAGTGCACCTAGAATTCCAGTTTCTTTTATTTAACTTGCACCAAGGTCACATTATCTGAAAGTTGAACAATTGTGAAATCCAAATGTTCAGCCTATCATGAGACCTGATGACTTAGGGCAGGGATGCCAAAAATCTACCATTCTGTTTCAGGGATGTGTCTCAAGAAGGAAAAGTTAATTCTATGACAAGAGAAAGATTAGTTTCATGAACTGTGTTTTTATGTTCAGTCTTGAATATGTAACAGGCCTGAAGATTCCCCTGATACTGGGGATGGTGGAACTTAATTGATCTTTTCTCCTCCCACCTTACTCTTTTCCAACCCACATTCCCAAAACCACACCATTTTTCTAGGAATGAGCCTGTCCCAAAAAACTGCAATGGAAAACTACAACCACTAGTGGTCCAGGTCACAACACATTCTGATACAAGTGGATGGATACCCCAGATAATATACCTCAGTCTCTTCATGACACACCATACGCAAAGATTCTAAAGTTAATTAAGTAAGAAATCACAAGGGTTACTGCAGGTCAGTGTATGTCAAAATCTGATTATAAGAGTTAGCAAAAGGGAACAGAAGTAAGAACATCTTTCTGTGATCATATGGGCAGATAGACCAGTAGTAGTCATCTTCCTTGGGTCATATGGATAGTTAGGTGAGATATGATGGATTCTCTTGAGCCAAACAAGTGGAGGAATACAGCAGACATGCAAATGACTTTGTTTAAATATAGAATTCTCCTCAATTTGATAGATATATTGATTAAGCAGCATGGTTCCTAGTCTTTCTGTATATGATTCTGATTCTCAAGCCAAATAGGCTTTGTGATACTTTTATGTCTAAAACACTCCATATTGAAGCATTAGGTATATTTATCATAAAACCTTCTCTTACTTCAATAATGCTCATTACAAATTATGCAATGATTTTGTAAATGATATTAATATCAGCAACTCTTCTGAAATTAACTATAAGGATAATGCAGTATTATTATTACAATACCTTTTTGTAAATCTCATTACAATATTTACAGCCTCATCGTATCTCTAACTCCTAACTAAATATATAGCTAAATCTCTGTGTAAGAGATTTGAAAGGGGGTGCCAAGTGCTGAGACAGAAGTCACACAAGTGTTAACTAAGAGAGAGAGGAAATGATACAAAGATATGTAAATTTATTGTCCCAATATCTGTGCTAAAAAAAAGAAACAGCTAGTGCAAATAATATTTTAATTCGTTGCAGACGAGTTAGGAGAATAGTTTCTTCCTCCTCTGTGAAGTAGGGCCTAAAGTTTCAATCTTGTGTCTTTTGCTTCCAGGTATCTTCCCACTAGGAGTTTTCCTCATTTTATAGCCTTCTTAAGCCAAGATGTTAGGAAAAAAGTTTTACGTTTTTAAGTTAATTTTTTTCTTATCTTGCCAACATCTCCTTGTGACAGGGAATGTCCACTCAAGATGTCCTTGAATAAGTGCAAAATTTGACATTTATTTTTTTTTGACAAATCTCATTTGTTTTGCATCCAAAGCTATTTCCTATAGTAATGTGAAAGGGTAGGCTACTCCAGAAAAAGAAGACTAGACCTCACAGATGTTCTTGTCATTCTTCCTGTGCTACTAGAACATGCTTATACAGGGGCTAATCAGACCTGAGCAGCATGACTTTTAACCGGGGTGGGGGGGGGGCCTGTGCCAACCATTTCTAGGCTGATAGGAGTGGGCCTTCACTTACTGCCCTGTTTTCATTCTATGCCTTTCAAGGTAGGAAAAAAAATCCAGTTTTGAGTGTGAGTGTATTTGCATATATTTAAAATTATTCATAGCTGGGGGGGGGGCAAACAAAGAACAATGGACAGAAGGAAAACATGTATTTCCTTTTATTTTCCAAGAGTGCACACTATGGAATTCTTATGCCTATGATGCCTCCTTTGCTATTTTTTCTCATCTCCCCAACCTCTAAATTTTGCAACGTATTGGGGCTGTTTGCTCTCTCATCTCTTCTCTCTCTACTTCCTGGCTTGGTGTTCTTTGGCTTGAAAAACCTTTATGGTAACAATTCCCAAATTTATGTTTCCATTTCAGATCTCTTTCCTCAGTGCTAACAATCCAGTTAACATCTCCACGTGGATGTCCAACTGGCATTTCAACACTTCCAAAATGGAACACCTGATTTCTCCCTCAAATCTGGTCTTTCCTCATGTCAGTAAATGGTACCTATATTCTTTCTGTTATTCAGGCCAAAAATCTTGGTGTCATCTTGACTTCTTTTTCTTTTATTCTACTTCCAATTCTTCAGAAATCTTATTGGTTATATTCAAAACATATGCAGAATCATCTCTCCATCTCCACTATCCTGGTCTAAGCCCTGCATCTTCTTTATTAGTCTCCATGGCACCAAGCTTTAACTAGTCTCCCTGTTTCTGTTCTCTTAACTGTGTAGTCTGCATACAGAAACCAGAGTGAGGCTATTAAAACTTACTCAGGGTAAAAGTTGAAGGCCTTATCATCCTCAGCAAGGCTCTATAGCACATGATCCATTACCTCTCTGACCCCAACTTTGGCCATTTTGTCCATTGCCACATCTTTGGTACCCGGAACATAGCCTGTTAGAATACCTACTCAAAATTTTGGTGGAATGAATAAATACCTTACTCAAGATAGTAAATGACAAATTAAAAATAGAATGCTTAGAGATTGGAGCTATTTGAAAAGAAAATCATCAAATCATTTAAAAACAGGAATGACTCCTAAAGACCATCGGATTCACTTCATTTTACAGGTTAGAAGCTGAGCCTTTGAAAGCTTAAATGACTTGCCCAAGGTTACAAAAGAGTCAGTAGAGACAAACTGCTCCTGCTCCACATTAATTCCTTTTTTAAGAACCTGTGGTCCTTATTTGGACTTTACTTTCAAGCAATTATTCTTCAGAAGTTCCCTCATTCATATACTTACTTAGTCTTGTGATCTTTCCATGTGATTCTGTACTTTATAGATTTTGTGGTCTGGTCTTCTACACGGGTTTTTTTCTGATTTAAAACAAAGCAAAACACATGCCAATTCCAAAAATAGGGTGGAGTGGAGAAGAGCCTCCTGTATTCCCTGGAAAGTTTTCCAAGCTGGGAGTGTCGTGACTTGATGGTAAGTGCTCCTTTTCTAACACCCTGGAAAAGTTGTAACCGAGCCAGGAACATGTTGCAGTTAGCATGGTAATAACAACACACATTCTAGAGCCATTTTCTCCTAATTCATGTCAGTGAGGGGGACCAAAGGTTTGTCAGCCCACAACATGCCTTTTGGGGTATTGATTTTAAGCCGGTTAAGGAACAAAAGACTCAGGAAGAGCCTTTGACCCTCCCCCATTACCTGCCTAAAAGGAATTTAGATAGAGGACCTGCTCCAGGAAGGGAGATATGGCAGTTAACTATAATTTAATGTAAAGTAGTGTGTGACAGAGCGGAATCTACCTAAGAAGACCCATTTGTTCAATCAAAGTCCTCTCTGTGTCCCATTTTTAAAGATGGCCCAGCAAACATTTATTTACCAAACATTTGCTTTTCCATCCCCATGTGAATTTCCTTCCCACCTTTTGAAGTCCCAAACTGCTATCCCCCTTTCTCCTTAGCTCCAGAATGACACATACTCCTCAACTGCCAGATCTGCCATCCGGTCTTATACTCTTATGGCACCCCCACATGTACACACTTATTAAATGTGGTTATTTCCTCCTGTTAATCTGTCTCATGTTAATTTGATTACTAGCCCAGCCAGAAGAACTTAGAAAGATGGAAGGAAAATTATTTTTTTGACCCTCACACAGGCTACTCTGGTTACTGGGTGACTTAAACAAGCTAAAAATCTTCTGTGCAGGAAAGAAATAATTAACAGACTGAAAAGGCAACCTATAGTTGCTATGGAAAACAGTATGGAGTTTCCTCAAAAAATTAAAAATAAAACAAACATATCCAGCCATCCCTTATCTGGACATTTATCCAAAGGACTTAAAATCATTATGTCAAAGTGGTATCTGCACCCCCATATTTACTGAAGCATTATAAACAATAGCCAAGAAGTGGAAACAAGCACCCATAAACAGATGAATGGATAAAGAAAATGTGTTATATACTTACAAAGGAATATTATTCAGTCTTAGAAAAGAAGGGAACCCTGCAATATGTAACAACATGGATAAGCTGGAGGACATTACGCTAAGTGTAATAAACCAGTCACAGAAGGACAAATACTGTATGATTCCACTAATATAAGGCATCTAGATAACCAAATCCACAGAAGTAGAGAGAGTAGAATGGTGGTGCCAGAGAGTGGGAGTGAAGGGAATGAGGAGTTGTTCAATAGGTATAAAGTTTCAGTCATGAAAGATGAATAATTCTAGAGATCTGCTCCACAATATTATGTCTATAGTTAGTACTGTATTATACACTTAAAAACCTGTTCAAAGGGTAGATCTCATGTTAAATGAGATCTTGCTATAAGAAAAAAATTAGAAAACACATTTAAGATACGATGAAGCAGATTGTGTAACACTGTCAATCATCGGAGTATGGAATAATCTCCCAAAGGAAATGTGAAAATGTGATCATTTAAGACATTTGAAACCTGACTGAAGAAAAGCACAGAAACACATAAAGTTGGCCTTGTTCTTCCTTCTACATGGGTGACAAGACCCACACAAGCATGACCTAAGGCACCAGTGGATTCGCAGCCTATGGGCAGTCTCCAGACCACCCACTAGTGTCAGGGAAGAAAGGAAGACTGGGCTGGAACTGATGACTCATATTAGGATGACTTGCTCAACATGTTCCTGGCTCGGTTACAACTTTTCCAGGGTGTTAGAAAAGGAGCACTTACCATCAAGTCACGCCACTCCCAGCTTGGAAAACTTTCCAGGGAATACAGGAGGCTCTTCTCCACTCCACCCTATTTTTGGAATTGGCATGTGTTTTACTTTGTTTTAAATCAGAAAAAAACCCGTGTAGAAGACCAGACCACAAAATCTATAAAGTACAGACAGAACCTTAGACCAGAGGTCAGCAAACTATGGCCCAAGGGCCAAATCTTGTCCACAGCCTGTTTCTCTAAACCAAGTTTTATTGGAACACATCCAAGGCCACTTGTTTCCATAGTGTCTACGGTACTTTCACAGTACAATGCCAGAGTTGAGTAGTTGCAACAAACACTGCATAGCCCACAAGCCTAATTATCTGGCCTTTTATGAAGGCCAACCTCTGTCTTAGACTAATAACTTTGAGAGGACTAATTCAATCATCTCCAAGGTAAAATATATAAAAATTGTTGCCTCTTCCCATCTTTTAAGTTATGAAATAGAAAAAAATGTAATTTGAATAGAATATGCCAACTTTCTATGAGTCTAGTCCAAGATAGCACATGCTAGAGTCTGGAGTACACATCTGTGACACCTAAGGTAGTATCATGATTAGAATGGAAGCATTAGAATCAGACAGGCCTGCGTGTGAATCCTGAATTTGCTATTTACCAGCTGCGCAACCTCTGGAGACTTACTTAATCTTCCTAGGCTTTACCTTGAAATAAAGTAAAAAAGAGTATTGAGCTCATAGGGCTCTTGTGAGGAGTGACTGAATTGCTGTACGACAAGCACTTAGCACCGTGCCTGATACATTAGCATGTGCTCAAAAAACCACCGAGTTTTAAGATCACTGTTATCAAAAAATTAATCTTAAAATTATTTACAAATTAATCTTTCCAAGATTGAACATGAAACTGATGAAATATATGCATCACCTGTTAAGCATTACCTGCACAGTTTTCTCCAGCATCTCCACAGAGAAGGCCATCATTTTCAGGACTTCTGGTGGAATTCCCATCTGCCACAACACAGTGGAGGATCACTAGACCTTCAAGTTTAAAACACAACCAAAACAAACATGAAAACTTAAAAATGTCCTCAATGCGAAACACTCTATCAAAGTTATGATCCATTTATAAAAATAACAAGCCGATGGCTTTCATTTCCAAGTCTCTCTCCCACAGGGAGACAGTGGTACACAGGCGGGCACATCTCATTTTTAAGCTCGGTGCTAAACGCAAAATTTCAGGCCAGCATCATTTACATCTATGTACCTTAGCGACGACACTTGACCATAACTTGGGATGGAAACTTATCATACAAACGGAAAATAGAGGAAGCTCTGAGCCACTGGATGAATTCACTGGTGAATTTCCAGGGAGAATAGATGATGAACCCAGACGGCAATATACTTTCTCCATTCCACACAGACTCGGTATTTTTCAGGTATTAACTATTGAGTGTCCTTCCTTCTGGGAAGACGTGAACTAGATATTCAATTCATGGGAATTATTTAAAATACCAGGTTCCTCCAGCTACTTATCTTTGTCTCTAAGAAGGACAGGCCTCCTGGAAAGGTATGGGGGATAGAGGAACACAGTGTTGTGGTTAGAACAGTTTGGAATACAA